GCATCTTGAGCTTGAGGTATGCGTAGTGCGGCACCGCATTGAACTTGGCAAATGCGGTTCGCCCGAGCAGTGCGTGATAGCCACTGCGGAACGGGACTATGTCGAAGATTAACTCCTCGCTTCGGAAATTATCCGGAGATCCGAAGACCACTTCAAGTGTAACTGAGCCTGCACAGTTGGCCTCTACACCTGGTATGATGCCTTTAAAGGTCGTTTTAGTGGGTTTAATCCTCGAGGAATCGATGCCCATTTTCCGCACTGTATCCTGGTAAAGCAGGTTCAGGCTGCTGCCGCCGTCCATAAGGACTCTAGTGAGGTGAAATCCGTCAATAATTGGGTCTAGAACCAACGCGGCGAATCCGCCATGACGGGTGCTAGTGGGGTGGTCCCTTCGATCAAAAGTGATCGGGCAGGAAGACCATGGGTTGAACTTTGGGGCAATTGGCTCCATCGTGTATACGTCCCTTAGCGCATGCTTCTGCTCCCTCTTGGGGACGTGGGTTGCGTATGTCATGTTCACCGTCCGCACTTGTGGGGGAAAACCTTTCTGTCCACTGTTGTTCGGCGGCCGGGGCTCCTCCTCGTCATCGCTATGCAGCCCCTTGTCTCTGCTTTCGGCATTTAACTTGCATGCCTGCTTGAACACCCAACAATCCCTGTTGGTGTGATTGGCTGGTTTTTCGGGGTGCCATGTATCTGGCATGAGCGGTCGAGTATTCGGTCCAAACTGGACGGGCCCGGAGTATTTCTTTTGAATGGATTTTTCCGCTGACCGGGTTTAGAGCCTCTGAATCTGGCATTAACTGCCGCATCCTCAGCATTGTCGCCGTTAATGCGGCGCTTTTGCTTGTTGTGACGCGACCTGCCACTGGTGTCCTTGGTATCCGAATTACTAGGGCTCTTGGTCATATTATTGCTGCGAGCTAGCCAGCTATCTTCTCCCGCGCAAAAGCGGGTCATAAGTGTCGTGAGGGCTGCCATGGATTTCGGCTTTTCCTGTCCTAGGTGCCGTGCAAGCCACTCGTCGCTGATGTTATGCTTGAAGGCTGCTAGGGCCTCTGCGTCCGGACAGTCGACGATTTGATTTTTCTTGGTTAGGAACCGTGTCCAGAATTATCTGGCCGATTCCTCTGGCTGCTGAATTATGTGGCTAAGGTCATCGGCGTTTGGTGGTCGCACATAAGTGCCCTGGAAATTGTCGAGGAATGCGGCTTCCAGGTCCTCCCAACAACCAATTGATTCTGCTGGCAAGCTGTTAAGCCAATGCCGAGCTGGTCCTTTAAGGTTGGGTAGGAGGTATTTGATGGCGTGTAGGTCATCACCGCGGGCCATGTGGATATGAAGGAGATAGTCCTTGATCCATACCACGGGATCTGTTGTGCCATCATATGATTCGATGTTCACGGGTTTGAAACCCTCAGGGATTTGATGATCCATTACTTCATCTGTGAAGCATAGTGGGTGTGCGGCGCCTATGTATTGGGCTATATCACGACGCAGCTCAAACGAGCTTTGTCTACTGTGTTCGGCCCGGCCGGATTGACTGTATCCAGAGTGACGATTACCTTCTCGTGCCGTGGGGTGCCCACGCGATCCGTAGATCGATCTTGTTTGCCTTGCCTTGTCCTCCAATATATCTCGCAGGTCTGGCGCATTTTTCCGTGCCTTGGTATTTTTTGAGCGGCGCCGGGGTGCGGCTTGAGTGGAGGGCCAAGAGGCCTCTTTGTCGCGGCCACGGGGTGGCCGGTCGGCCACATCATGCGCTGGTGATGTAGGTTTAGGTGCTTCCTCCTCTAATCGGGGTAGAAACTTGCGCTTTGGGTAGCTCTTGGAGGGGCATTCGAGTTCATACTCTTCGGCCGCAAGGACCTCAGTCCATCTGTCGGCTAGCAAATCTTGATCAGCTCTAAGCTGTTGTTGTTTTTTCTTGAGGCTGCTCGCCGTGGCCATAAGCTTGCGTTTGAAACGCTCTTGTTCGACGGGATCCTCCGGCACGACAAATTCGTCGTCGTTGAGGCTTGCCTCGTCTTCGGAGGGAGGCATATAATTATCGTCCTCAACCTCTCTGTCTGCCGCTCTCTCATGAGGGCTGGCTTCTCCATCCTCCTGTACTGAATCTTGCTGGAGGTGGTTGTCTTCGGCACTGTCCGGGGTGTTATTATCTCCCGTGCCGGAATCACCATTTTTGCTTTGGCGGGATTTAGAGCGGCGCCGCTGACGCCGGTTCTTAGGCTGCTTCTTGGAGGGGTCATCCTCCACTGTTCCATCGTCATTGTCTTCTTCTGGGGTGTCCACCATGTATATATCATACGACGAGGTGGCTTTCTAGTGCCTTATAGGCGCTGGTTCTTGATCGTCTCCTGCATCGGCGTCCATACCGTCGATGTCTTCGGAGTCGAAGTCGAGCATGTCGGTTAAATCATCGACAATGGCTACAAAGTGGGTGGTGGGTGGGCTTTGAATTTCTTCATCATCCGCATCCCAACCTTGCTGACCATAGTCCGGCCAGGGCTCTCCTGATAAAGAGAGAGACTTTAGTGAATTCAGAATATCGCTGAAGGGCGAGTGCTGAAAGATGTCCGCGGCGGTGAACTCCAAGATCGGCGCCCAATCGGGTTCGATCGGTAGGGGCGCGGAGGGCTCGGAGTCTGGAGACGAGTCCGGCTTCTTGGAGTCACGGGCTTCGCAGAGAATAGGGCTGGTATTCGGCTCGATCGCCGTAGAGATTGCAGCCCCCGAGGCGGTGTCCAACCACCCATCCTCGATTGGCGCAGTTGGCTCCGAATTAAGGGTCGGAGCTGATGCGGGTGCGGCCTCCAGGGCACTGTTCGGCGGCAGAGCTAGATCATGCCCATCGTGACAGTGCAGCGTGCTCGGCTGCGACTCGAATCCATCGAAGATGAAGTCTCCGCGGAGGTCCGCTGTGTAGTTTAAACTTCTAAACCTGACCTGACGGCCAGGGGCGTAGTTTTCAATCTGCTCCAGATGGCCAAGCGAATTGGCCCGCAGTGCAAAGCCGCCAAATACGAAGATCTGTCCAGGGAGAAAGGTCTCACCCTGGATCGCATCGCTGTTAATGATCGAAGAAGCAATCGGGCCTAAAAGTGATGACACGAAGGAACTCTTAATGAAAGCACCAATGTCGGTGTCAAAATCGGCGGATCTCGGATAGGGGGTCCCGAACTATGCGTCTAGGCGGATGGTAACAGGAGGCAGGGGACATAGTGTTTTACCCAGGTTCGAGCCCTTTTGATGGAGGTAAAACCCTCCGTCCTACTTGATTAATATTGATGATATGGGTAGTACAAGAGTAGACCTACCACGAGATCAAGAAGGCTAAACCCTAGAAGCTAGCCTATGGTATGATTGTTGTTCGTCCTACGGACTAAAATCCTCCGGTTTATATAGACACCGGCGAGGACTAGGGTTACACAGAGTTTACAATGGTAGGAGATCTACATATCCGTATCGCCAAGCTTGCCTTCCTCGCCAAGGAAAGTCCTTTCCGGACACGGGACAAAGTCTTCAATCTTGTATCTTCATAGTCCAGGAGTCCGGCCGAAGGTATAGTCCGGCTATCCGGACACCCCCTAATCCAGGACTCCCTCACCGCCGCAGCCACCTGCCACCAATCCATCTTCAGAGTTGTACTGTTGCATGTACCGTGCCAGGTCTCTCTGCCATCGATACCACCACGATGACCGACAGCGTCGTCCTCCTGCGCGAGTCCATCCTCCCACAGTGAACTCCGAATCTGCACCGCGCCACGCCGTTAAGATCCGTCGCCATCAGTGTGTAGGATGAATCACCGCTCCACCAAAGAATCCGTCCTCTGGTCCCTCGATCATGTGTGTACCTCCAAAAATGACGCCCCCAAGGAAGAAACGACACCAGAGCGCCGCCGTCATCCGATCATCCGATCTAGGGTTTTCCCCGGAGGTAGCAGAGAGTAGCCTTGAACTTCTCCAAGGCGATGCTTTCAAGAAGGGAACGACCCAGATAGCGCCGCCACCACTGTCCTTAGCAGACGCCGAAGGCAAGTTTTCATCCAGATCAGTTCGAAGGGATCCAACTCTCGTGCATGGGCCGCACTCACCACTCGCGCCACGAGGCAGAACCTTGGAGCACCGGCAGATCAGCGAGCCGCCGGCACCACCGCATCCAGATCGCCGGCCACGCCGGGCCGCCGCCATCCCTCACGCCGTCCGGGTCAGAGATGGAGCCACCGACCGCGCACAGGGGCCACCGCCGCCTGCACACGCCGGAGTGCCGCCGAGGGCCCAGCGCCTGCCACCGCTTGCCGAGGGCCGCCGCCGCGCGCCCCGAGCGGACTCCCACGCACACCAGGGGAAACCGCAAGCGTGAGCCCTGCCGTCGCCCCCAAGCCCGCGCCGGCGCGCCCCGCCTCAACCGCGCAGCCAAAAACCGCTGCGATCCGCCCGCGCCAGATCTAGCGATTCGTGGGAGAAGAGATCCCGCCGCCGACGACGCCGACCGGGCTTTGCCCGGCGGCGGCAAGGAGGAGAGGTCGGGGAGGGACGAGGACGCGGTGGTGCTAGGGTTCCCCGGCGACACGGGAGGAGACGGAAGCTTAAGATCTCTGCTTAATTTTACCCTGAACTGTGCTAAATTCAATTCGGCACAGTTCTTAATCTAGCTAAACCTCTGTTCTGCTTCGTAAGTTAATACCAAGATTGCTTTGATGACACTACGTAGTCTAAGACTATGACAAAATGCTTTTATCATTGTGATCTGCTTCTCCTTTCTCTGTAATCGTCAAGGAAATTGGTTATGAGACTCAATGCTGATTTCGTGTCTGTCAGGAATCCAGCGTCGGATGACATCAGCTGCAAAACCGTTTCGTTCTTAAGCGAACAAGAGTAAGCGCATCCTAACTAACTACTCATTTGCCATGCTCAGTAACTGATGGATGTGCTCTTGTGCACTTCTTTGGTATACTAAATATTAGTATCTTGCTTTGAACTACAGTCAGAATTCAGATACCACTCTGTGATGGTAGCGTCAGGAAAGTCCAAGCTGTTAAGCAAATCTGCATGAATGTCTTCCCTGGTAAATCTCCCTACAAATTTCGTGGATGATATGCTGACAATATTCAGGTATAATGCAATGCTAATGTGATGAACCTATGTACCTGCAGGTTAGCATTTCTGAAAGCATCCACACAAAATGAAGAGAGCAATGCCATGCTTATCAAGCAAAGTCAAAAATCCATCACCATGGCATGTGACGTGTGTTGTCTGAAAATTGATGAAATGATCAGCAGATCAGAACTAGATCATGCTCTGACCGTCGTCGATTTCCCTATAGATTTTCTCTACGTGTGTGTGTCAGTGCAGACAGATATTTCTTGATCCAGTTTCTCTACACATAGATGTCAGTGCGAATTTGTATTTGCCTGTAAATTTGCGAAGAGTCCCTTGGCTCTCAGAGGAACGAAGCCCATGTCTGTGTGCCTAGCAATCTGACATGTGAGTGAGAGCGTTTGTGTGTGGAGGCGTGTGTGGTGTATAAACGCAGGCGCTTGTCGAGTGTTTGTGTTTCGTCAGTCAATGAAATGGTAATGTCTGAATTCCTCTTGCAAACCCTGTCAAACTGCAACGTGGAAGCAAGAATTACAAATCAATTTAATTTGATCTGATAACAGTTCATCATCAGATCTTGTTATGAATATGAAGCATAAAGTCTGAACTAGCACACTTTATCGGTGCGTTGAAAATCCAGTCCCGTCAGAATTCAGATACCCAAACTCATAAGGGCTCGTAAGTTATTCTTTTCATCCTCTTTTTCTGAAGCTATTTATTCGGGTCAACTTGTTTTTTTCAATGAGTTGTGCATAAGTTTGTCTGGCACCGCAATATTAGTTCCCTAGGGATCTGTGCGGTCTGCAGACGTTCAAAAATATTTGGCCAGCACTATATTGATTCATTTCTCAGAAGCCGTCTCCTTGGCGATGTTGAAGTTGACATACATGTCCTCGTAGTACGCCGCCAGGGGTACAGCGTACAGGGACCTGCATACAGTCAGAGTGCCATATGTTGACATGCGTCATATGAAACCAGTACCGCGTTCTAGCACTCCCAAACACCTACGATGAAACGAAGCATCTGCCGGTCTTTTTCTCTGTTCTGTTATATTATTGGACGATATAATCTTCTCCTCCATCTCCACCAGTGAGCACAGGACTCGCCTCCTCTTTGCCTGGCACTTTGGCGGCTGGTGGCGGGTAGCGGAATAGGGGAATCCCGGTGCCTCAGCTCCGGGCTCTGCCCAGTAGATAGGTTAGGATTTTAGTCCTTACATGGGCGGTGTTTCATCTCCGAGTCGGTTTTTTGGGCTTCGACCCTCCTTGAGTTCATCCACCAGGACGGATTATATGGAGCTACAGTGTAGATTCCACCTACTCCTCAGGATTGCGAGGTTAAGGCTGGTCACAATGGGCAAGAACATAAGCTAGTAACTTACACACTTCCTTAGACTATGTTACTACCTCCATAGTGGGTAGGAACATCTATGTAGTGTCATGCAAAGATGTATTTATTAGGTTATAGACTCATTGTTTCTTGGAGTGTGTGATGTTCTGATAACTTAGCTAGTTACCACAAGCACCTCTCTCTTCATTAAATATGTGCCACATAAGCAAAGTTGTATTGGAGTGTGTGATGTTACTCCTAAGTTCCTCCCCATTGTGACCAGCCTAAGGTTTCTCGTCGTGCATTAATAAATGCAGTGGTAGATTTGGTGTCAGGTTCTTTGATCGATTCAAGGGACAACAACGACGACTGCGGCTCCAATGATTGGTTCTTAGGGGCACGTGCACAAAGACTTCTTAGCTGTCATCGATAAGATCAGGCTCACTCCGGTATGAGAGCGGACGTCGGAAGTTTAATTTGTTGACGGTGGTGGTCCTTTGGTGCTCCAGGGCCCTCAATGTAATTTTATTATGTTTAGGATGCTTTGTACGTCCAGTGAACCTTTATAATATATTTCAGTCAATAAAGAAAAAACACGAGTTCGTTGTGATAAGACTTGCCCCAAGGCGTTCAATTTTTTTCCCTCGGCCGTCTCTGTTTATTTTCTTCTACTAGTTTCGGTGGGTTTTTTGCTTTTGTTTTTCTAATAATTCACGAACACTTTAAAGAATCATCAACTTTTTAAAAATGTGAACATTTAAAAATTCGTGAAATACTTTTTGAAAAACTTTAACATTTTTTAATTCTTATTGTTTCGAAGAAAAATTACGGACGTTTTAAAATAACTTGTGAAGATTTTAAAACGAATAATTTAGAATATCATGAACATTTTTATTAATTTTAAACTTAATATTTATATTGAATGTCATATTTTGCAGGAAAAAATAATGAAAACTGTATAGAAAATCCATTGCCCAACATTAGTAGGTGCACGAATTGCTAGGTGGACCGGCCCACCCTACATTTTGGATATACGATGAATAGGAGCACTCGATGGTCTTCTCAAGTTTGGTTTGGTCAGTAATCCTCATGCTTTGTTCTTTTTTACTCGTGAATTTTTTCCTCGATAGTATGACGATAATTCAACAATTTGGCAACCTGTAGAAGGGGTATGTTGTAACGCCCCGAGACCGATGTGCCAGGTGTCGTCCAGTTATTCGTTGTTGTTGCCTTGGCATTGCTTACGTGTCATGCATTGCATATCATGTCATCATGTGCATTTCATTTGCATACGTGTTCGTCTCATGCATCCGAGCTTTTCCCCGTTGTCCGTTTTGCATTCCGGCGCTCCTATCTCCTCCGGTGGTCATTTCTACCTTCTTTTTGTGTGTGGGGATTAAACATTTCCGGATTGGACCGAGACTTGCCGAGGGGCCTTGGTTTACTACCGGTAGACCGCCTGTCAAGTTTCGTACCATTTTGACTTTGTTTGATACTCCAACGGTTAACCAAGGGACCGAAAAGGCCTCGTGTGTGTTGTAGCCCAACATCCTTCCAATTTGGCCCAAAACCCACATAAACCTCCTCCATCCTCTCGGTCGTTCGATCACGATCGCGTGGCCGAAAACCGCACCTCATTTGAACTCTCCTAGCTCCCTCTACCTATAAATATGTGTCTCCTTTTGAAATTTTCGGGCGAAACCCTAGATCCAATCCTCCTCTGCGTCACCGGACATTTTCCCCGCCGCCGGACATGTCCGCCGCCGCCCCCGCGCCCAATCCTGAGCCGCCACGCGCCCCGCCGCCGTCTCCACCGCGCCGGCCCGCAGAGCCCATCGCGGGCCCGCCCGGCCCGGTCGCCGCCG